TTCAAGTCCATTATAACACAGCATGAGGTGCTTATAATGCTCACAATCAAAGCATGGTCTGTAAGAGTTACACACCACAGTACATTCAAATACAATTTTAGGATCTGCTATTAAGAGAAAATTGACAACTGTCCACCAACCTTGTCTCCTTTTGGTCCTGATGCTCCAGGGTCACCATGACCCCCCTTGAACAAATAAAAGAGTAAAATAAATCAAGGAAGGATTTAATAATTCTGTTGTGACATGTGGCAGACATGAGAGAAGTGATTCTGAACCTACCTTATCTCCTTTGTAACCAGGCAAACCCTGAAAAGACACACAGGGAATATAACAGCAGATAATTAAAGACTGTTTCTCTTTTCTTCCCTATCATTAACATCATTGTGTGTATGCCTGTGTAAATATATGACTTGCCTTTATCCCTGGTGGTCCCCTTAGTCCTGGTAATCCCATGAGTCCTGGATCCCCTTTCTCAGCCTAAAAAACCCATACAGGTTCATGTTCTTATATAGCAAGGTGTAAGACCACAACATATTGTGATACAACAGTTACCTGGGGTCCCTCTGGTCCAGGCCATCCTTGTAGTCCTGGTTTGCCTGGGAGGCCTGGAGCCCCTGTACGTCCCTAAGGCACACACAGGATCAGAGCAGGCACTTATTCAATCTGTTGATGCTTTTTCAAGTGTTAATAGTCTTATCCTCAACAGCAGAATGTGTTAACCTTGTTCTCCAAAACAAATTGAATAATTGAATTCATTATGTAAAGAATGAGTTCAACAGGTTTCTTTGATTTCTTGCCAGAAGCTTGAGGAAATGATATTAGCTGAGGTAAGTGTAGCATACATTCTGGAAACAGGGGAACAGCAAGCTTTTATTTTTAACCAAATGTCCAATAATCAGCCTACCAGAAACTCTTAAAAGATATTATCATTTTTTTTAAAACATATTGTCTAATCAGTACATAATCTGTGGTGCAAAAATGACAATATATAGTTTCACAGTGGGGTTTATCTGACTCTTGGGATGAATCAATAAGCATCTTCTCTAAAACGTCAGGCTTTTCTTTTAAACTGGGACTGATTTCTGCGTTTGTACTTTGCTGATGAGCTGCAGCATTTTACGTTTGCCAAAATGCTTCTTTAATGGCCCTGAAAAAGAACCACTGATTTCCTTAGAGTCTAACCAGGTTAAATAAGGGTCATAAACAAATTAGCATGTTAGACGGACCTCGTATGATTTCCTAATGGGACATGACAGAGGACAAAACCCTGCATGCCAACTGCTTTTACAATGCCACCAAGATTCAATAATTAGCAGACAGGAATAAAAGCCGAATCAATGTTGCTCTATCGCCAGCTCCCTTCAAGCAAGAAAAGCCGAATGCATTACAAATCAGCCTTGCATCTCAATGGGACAAGCATCCCAGAGCGGCCGCCATGCTACCAGCGTGCTCTCATTTAGCTGTCCGTCATTAAAACAGCAGCCTGTAGAGACACCGTGGACCTGCTGCTGCTGTGTGCAGTGATTTATCACGGAGAGCAAAAGCACTTAGGGAGATTAAAGTGCAGAAGTGGAGTGCTGGAGAGCCTGGATCAGCAGGACTGGAGTCCAGTACGAAGAGTAATGGATCCGGGCCAAGGAAAGGGAGAGGGGAGGAAGAAGGAAGCAGAGGAAAAGGATAGAGGGGAGAAAGAGAGGTGAGACATCCTGGGATGTGATCGAGCTTTGCTACATGGAAAGAGCGGGACTAATGTAGCGTGACCCATTTAGCAGCAGCAGAGGATATTCTGAGCACATCAATAGACAAATCACATCACAGAGATGGAGGATGCATAAGGGGGACGACGGAGAGAGAAATTCAGATCCCATTATACCAAGGACATGCGAGATGGACCAGAGAGAGACGAGCGAGGGGAGGCGACATGCGGGAGGGGAGGAGCGGCTCACCTTTGACCCGGGACGTCCAATTTCTCCCTGGAGGAGGACAAATGAGGAGAGAGGAGATGCAGCAGTCATTAGAGCAGGGAGGAACACAAGGACACACGCACAGATACTTCAACAGCAAAGTACATTAGAGACATTTTCAAGACTAACTAAACCCAAACACACACCTTCTCGCCTTGTGGTCCTCGGATGCCGGGTAATCCACCTTGACCCTGTAAAATAAGACTACATTTATATCCAGCTCACACAATTGAACAGAGCTTGGTCCATTTGTAAAGAAATCAATAATATTGAGGTCATTTTGTTTCATTTCAATTCAACAATATTCTATCTAAATGGCTCCAGTCTCATGGATGCACATTAGCTGAAAAGTGATGCAGGCCGTGATGAGAGTATTTATACATTGTGTTGTATTTATATAAGGGTCTTGCCTCTGGGCCCTGGGGTCCTGGGGGTCCTGGAGGTCCAGCTGAACACCCAGGTGTGACAGGTTTTTCCTTTTCCTTTACCTCTCCTCCAAACACGCTTGGCTCCAACACGCTAACACCACCCTTCAGTCAAACACACAACATCCAACCTGTTTCAATCCTATACTCTTAGCATGCAAAAGTGTGCAAATGAGGTGTAATAAGGCATCAGGTGTGTGTTTGTGAACACCTACGGGGCTGCCATGCTTCCACAGCTGAGGTGGCGGCGGGAAGAGAGGTGGGGGGGGCGGGGACATCAGACAGCAGGGGTCAAACGTGAGCGGCTCATCCAGAAACCTGAGAACTGAGAGGGAGCCAGAGTTTAAAAGATTTGTGCAATATGTGTTATTTGCCTTATATGACAAGTTAAATGTTCAACTTACCGGAGCGGGGGGAGAGGATGCTGTCCATGTAAGAGTGGCGGGCCCACGCAGAGCACAACAGGTAGTGAAGGGACACGGCAAGTTTGATCAGATCCATCCTCATGGTTTACTCTCCCTGAAGCGGACAACACAAGCTGTCAAACACACACTCTATTTCTGCTGAGCTTAATGCAGTAACTGGCAGCTGTCACTTTTTCCTTACTCCCTAAGGGTGTCACTTTTTCCTCAACCACTTAACCCCCCCTGGAAAGAAGAAAGAACAACACTCTAGTCTCGCTGCTCTCTCCTCTCTCTCTCTCTCTCTCTCTCTCTCTCTCTCTCTCTCTCTCTCTCTCTCTCTCTATCCTCTCTCTCTCTCTCTCTCTCTCTCTTTCCTCATAGCATAATAAACTTGTTGCAGCTCCACACTGCAGCAGATGCAGCACCGCTGTAATACCAGTTGTGCACCAAACCCCCTTCAGCCAGAATGAGACAGAGGGTGTGTGTGTGTGGTGGGAGGGGGGGGGGGGGGTTAATGAAGAAGTCATAAGGCTTCTTCATTTACACAAACATTTCATTTCCAGTATGCTCATATTTCTTCTGGTAGTGGATGATATTAGAAGTCAATGCAGAAAGAATGCATGCAGTAGTCTTTATTAATAAGCCTCAACATCCCCCTCTTATACAATCTAATTTAACGAACACAACGCCTCAATGCACATATGATATAGTTAAATGATAGCAATGTCATCTAACATCCTTCCAATGCACAAGACGCCCCTTACCTTCCACTTGAGATTGTCCCGCACTTGTGTACACGCTGCTGGATCTCCTCTCACCTAATGCGCGGTGTGCAGACCCTCAGACTGGGGCTCCTCTGGCATCTGGCGAGCTGTAGACCGCTAATAAATCTGATCCACTTATCGACCCACTTCTGCTGTTCAATACCAAGACAGATGCAGAAAGAGGATGGTTTTTATTTGTTTTCCCCGGGGGCTGAATGAACAGCAGAGGCCACTGAGTGGAGGCAGCACAGCGGTGGCAGCTCACTGTCAGCGGGTCCGGGTGGTCCAGTCTATGGTCCGGGTGGTTCGATCTATGGTCTGGATGACACAGTCTGGTCTGGATGACAGGGTCTATGGTCTGGATGACACAGTCTATGGCCCAGATCAGAGGCTCGTTAGCCGCTGTGTCGTCTTGATCGACTTCACAGCAGCTGGATGAATATATGGGATGGCACCAACATTTTATGTCGGCATGCATACACTCGTTTGGCACGTTTTAAGTCTATTGATGGTCTCTGCAGCAAGGAACTGGCGCCCTCTGCTGGGGGTTTTAGTTAATGGCAGAAATAATAGGAAAAGTCAATATCCCTTAACTTTGCCCTACATTATTGACTTATTCTTATACAACTCTTAAAATAGATGAGTGAAACTGACATAGGGTAGGGTTCTTTTTAACTACACAATCTCTGTCCGGTATGTTTCCTCTATTTTTTTGGAAACAATAACTGGATTATTTTTTACTTACTGTGAATGTGTATTTCAACATGTATATTTTCTACATTTTTAATGCTATTTTATTTCTTTTAGAGATGTTTACATTTTGAATTGTTTATTTCTAGTCTTTTAATTTCTCTAATGTACAATGCCTTGTCTTTTTATGCTGCTGCAACACAAATAAGTACATCTTATTATCTTATCTTATAACTATGTTTATGTCTTTGTAATAATTGTTCTGACATTGGACCACCTTTATGTTATGGTGTCAATAGTGTGGTTAAACCAAGTACATCACAGACAACCAAGAGTCTAAATAACTAACTTACTACATCAAAAACCAAAATAATTCTCAGTAAGAAAAGTGCATTCTAAGTGGAAGGAAACAATAACGGGATCATTTATTTCCCACTGGAATCACTGACTCAAGTAGAAATATTTGTTTTATTCAAGTCAAGGTCAAGGTATTGTCTAGAAAAGTAAAAATACAGTAAAAAAAAGCAACTTGGGACATAATTGAAGCAATTTGGATTGACCTCATTCAACAAGTCATTATTAGACCAATTGTAAGTACTGTATATTTGATTTAAACCAAATAATGGCTGTTTATATAAATGACAAATCAGTTTGACATTCCAGTTCTTAAGTCAGAAACAGTCATTCATAAGTGTATGAATACAAAACACACTCATATTAAAGTGCAGCTCTCGTAAAAGTAATCACACCAAGTAGCTTACAAAGAGGAAATATAATACAATCCAGCACCGTCAAACAGTTTTTCAAAGTCTTGAGACTTTAGAGAAAAGCTCTACAAGTAGTAAACAAAATATAATAGAAAAATAGACCTGAACATGAGCTGCCAACAGTGCAGCGAGAGTTAAAGTGGCAAACATGCAGAGTTTGTGCGAGCAGTAGTAAATGGTAAACAACTGTTTTCCGAAAGTCCCAAAGGAAGGCTGCCTCTTTAAGAAGCCTCGACTGAGAAATGTCTGGAAAACACACGAAGGCTGACTCATACGATAATTAAAAACAGTCTCACACAAAAGCTGTGTGGGAGCAATGCTGTAATGTAACTAAATGCAGAAAGAGAACTCTAACTATACATTAAAATAAAGAATACACTATTGTTTTTCCTAAATGTACAGTGCTTCTGTCCACAGCTGTGTGTGTGTGTGTGTGTGTGTGTGTGTGTGTGTGTGTGTGTGTGTGTGTGTGTGTGTGTGTGTGTGTTTTGTTTGTCAGTTTATTCAGAGGTGGAGTCCTTTAGATACGCTATAATATCCACTCTTTCCCTTTTCTTTCTGATCCCACTGAAGATCATCTTGGTACCAGGAATGTACTTCTTAGGGTTTTGAAGGTAGACTGCCAGGGTTTCCTCATCCCATATGATGCCTACAAAACAAACACACACATTTAACAACATGTTTGGCATAAGTATGAAAAATCTGCCTTCTCACACATCTGATAACTGTTTTTAGGTTTTATGACCTAGTGTTAGAGCAGTTTTTAGAGCGAGAGAGTCTGCCTGTTCAGACTTGCTGCTCTTATCGTCAGGTAGAGAAAGGACCAAGCTGCTTATCAGCTAGAGCTGTAACGATTAGTCGATTGACAGGAAAATACTATTTCGCTAATCCATTTATTGTTCAAATATACTTTAATCATAAGATTACACTTAATATTCGTTGGGGTTTTATACTGACAAAATGTAAAGACATTCACAATTGTCTTACATTTTATAGGTTAATCAAATAATCCAGATTTTTTTTTTATATTGAATATTTGACAACGAAGATAATTGTTTGTTCAGCTCTGTAGAATAACTTTGTGAGATCATTTCTACACATATAAAACATGCAGATGCATATTGATATATTGTATTCATGGGACAAAGGAGAGACAGCATTTGATACCATGTTTAAACCAAATTATAATCCTGAGTTAAAGTAAAACGATCAGATGATTACACTATGATCGCTGATGTAAGACTTATGAAGGCTTGTCAAAAGGGCTAGACAGCTAACTTGTGGAATCTGGGCCAATGAATGAACTTGAAGGGCCCTCAGTTAGGTGCATGGGTTTTTGACAATTATAGGAAGTTGTACTGACAATGCAACTTTATATAGATACAATATAAAGTTTCATTGCAGCAGGAACAATTAATCCACTAATAGAGGAGAGCAAGCACAACTGTTTCTCAGGAACGATATGCTGCCATGCACTGGATGAGTTAAAGCATTAAAGAAATCATCAGAAACTGTGCTAAATAGTACAGATGCTTACTCTGTCTTTCCTTTAAACACTTTTAGAGAACAGTTTGGCAAGGCAAGGCAAGTTTATTTATATAGCACTTTTCAACACAAGGCAATTCAAAGTGCTTTACAAAAAATGGCAGGTTACCATGGTGGTTTTAACATCATGACATAGACCTGGTTAAATAAAACATTATTGAAGTGCAAAACAACCCTAGTGTTAGAATTCACTGGTAAACATGTTTAATGTAATATTTTATGGTTTAAGATTAACAACCGTACATCCTAAAATGTAGCCTACTTTTGTCAAAGATATACAAACAAGTAAAGACTGGATTCAAATGTTTGGGTAAACTTTATAGTACAAATGTGGGGTGGTTAGAAACGTTGCTTAATGCTTGCTATACTGGGGTGCATTGTTATATAGGTAATTCCTCTTTGGCTGGTTGGAGTTTGGTTGTCTGTAATACGGGCTTTTTTGATCCTTACCTTTGTCGATGTTGGCCTGTGTGTACTTGAAGCCAGATGCCTGTCCTGTCTTCCTCCCAAACAGACCCCACAGGTTGGGTCCCACCTTGTGACGCCCCCCCTCTGTCACTGTGTGACACTGGGAGCATTTCTGAACAAACACCTTCTTCCCTTTGTTGATGTCCCCCATGACCAGGAGCTGGGAGGAGAGGAAATGGTGGCAAACAATGAGAGTTACAGTCAGGAGCACTGAGGGTTAAAATACTAGTGATTCAAAATGTGAGAGTGGAATTAATATGGAGTCCGAAATTATTTATGACACTATGTTGCCAAGGGCATATTGGTAGTTTAATAACCCTCACACTTACGGGTTGTTTTAGAAATCCGTCGAAAAAGACAGACCTATGCTGTCGAAAGTAGGTCAAGCTAAAACTGCTTGTTAGCCTGAATGAAAAAGATCGCAAATAATATATCTTTTTTTCCATTTTAACTATTGAAATCATGAAACTGCGTAGTAAAACGCGACTACAACATAATTCACCACAGACATTTTGTTTTTACCGGAGGAAGACGTGAAAATACAACAAACAAGACAACGTAACAAAAAGTTAGAGATTTTACCGTAGTCTACCAAATAGAACTGTGTGTAGTTCAAGGACCTCCAGGTAAAAGTGTCCTCCCCTTTCCAAATAATGTGATTGTTGTTGTTGTTTGCTAAAGTTTCTTGCTGTTTTCCCTTTTAAACTACTCGAACAAGTACACGACCGGATCTGCTCCCAAATGTAGGAAGGAAGGGGTTGGGTCGGATTGAATAGATACAACGTTATGATAAACTCGTTGCGCAACTCATTGAAGAGGCAGCTTCAGAATGTCGGTCACACCCATCTGAATGAAGGCAGGTGAGGTGTGTCGTTTGCAATGTATGGGAACACATACCTGTTGTGAAAAAGGCGTTATTGATATCAATGTAAATTAGAGTGAACATTTACTTTTAAGTGAATTACGTGATCATTTGATTTAGGACTTTACTGTGGTTTAAACCACAATAATGCACCAAAAAGTAAACCAGTAGAACTAAACCGGGGTGAAGTAAGTTTCATGTTGGAGATTTGATCAAAATAGGCTTGTTTGAGACAAGCAAGACCTGCGCAGACGCGATCAACGTCTTGCTAGTGCGTTGCATGATGGTTAGTCATTTTGTCCGACTTGCTCTGGAGGCCCGCCTACATGAGACTTTGAAATTTCGCGGGACAAAGACGCCCGCAGCCTTGAGAGCGAGGCGAGGCGAGTTGGCGCAGTTGCTCTCCACGGGCTGCGGAAGCGAAATGCTTGATGGGAAACGGCTCGCTGGTATCTCGAGCTGAGCGCTCATTGGTGGTTTTTACCACGTGCTGGTGATGAAACTCTCCAATTGGCTGGCAAAATGTTGTTGTTGTTTTGTGTCAGTTTTACGTCGCCACTTCCATTCACATTTTTCATCATTGTTCCACAATATTTATCATCATTAAATTAATATCCATATATTTTATACTATACTTGCACTGCTTACCGTTTTCATACTTTATATATCTTAGCATATTCATACACACTGTTCATACTGCTCTCAGGCTGCTGTGTATATCTAGTGTATTCATACCCCTCACTGTTTATTCATCATTCAATTCATTCTATATGTTATTCTGTAGATTGTGTACATTACTTTTCACTTTACTGCTTGTTGCACCTGGTTAGAAGCTAAACTGCATTTCGTTGTCTCAGTACCTGTAATATGTGCAATAACAATAAAGTTGAATCTAATCTGGAGCAGGAACAAATGTATTTACTTACTACATATCTGACATTAACGATTAAACACATGTGTGCATTCTTTATAAATGCAAACCGAGTCAAGCCGACTCCGGAGGTGGCGGTATGCACCTTAAAGTTGTTTGCAATCCGCCAAAAAACCGAGAGAAGAAGAAGAAGAAGAAGAAGAAGAAGAAGAAGAAGAAGAAGAAGAAGAAGAAGAAGAAGAAGAAGAAGAAGAAGAAGAAGAAGAAGAAGAAGAAGAAGAAGAAGAAGAAGAAGAAGAAGAAGAAGAAGAAGAAGAAGAAGAAGAAGAAGAAGAAGAAGAAGAAGAAGAAGAAGACTCCGAGCATGGACTCCGAGCTGTCCGACTTCAGGCGAGCTTTTTGAGACCTCCCCGGCTGCGATCGGCTATTCTCGTCTACTTTCGAGGCGAGCCGCAACGCGTCTCAAACAAGCCTAGTGTCTTCTAGTCACCTGCCACATAGATATATATAAACTATGACCTGCCATGCTACATTGCCCATATTAGATAATTGACGTGTCATGATTTGATTTTACAAAGATATCTTTTTTTAGAGATAATTTTTTTGGTGACAATTCTGCAGTTTTTTTATTGAAAAGTCATGATTTATTTTCAAAACGTTCACGTCACGTTACCTTGTGATTCAAATCAATGCAGAACTGTATTACTGCATTTGACAATTAGAAGAAACCTCTTTTATGTAATGGATTTTAGTAAATGTTTTACTTTACATGGATACTGTTATGAAATTCAACAGTTTCTTTGTTGAAAAGTCTCAATACTTAACGAAATGTCATATATTTCATGTGACCCATTGACTCAAAATGTATGCAGCATTGTATAACACTCATGGACAAGTACATACCTCTTTTTTCTAATAGAATGTAGTACTTTTTATGTTTTATACAAATATTGTTGTCAATATTCAACAGTTTCCATTTGGATGTCAAAGGACAATGACTGTTACAAAATACAAAAATGTCATATTCATATATCTCCAAGCAGTACAAAGTATAATAGTGACTCACATACCGTATAACAAACCTGTTGTATAAGAGCACGGCTTATTGAACATGTTCATTCACAATGAACATGGGCGCTGATTTAATGCATTTTTCACATTCATATTTTGACATATCACAGTAATGGATTAGCAACAACGTGATGTTCCTGCTGAAATTAGTCTCAATATCTGCTGTTATGCGTATAGACATATTCTCGATAATGATGCCTTTTCCATTCAGGTGTCTTATATGCGCAGCCATATTAATGAGCCAGAATAATTACCAGGGTGTTAGAAATGACACACCTAAGAAGAATGCAGCCATTGACAATGTCAATATACACTGGTGCTCTTCCTGTCCTGACACGTGTCTGCTGTGAGGAAGATTTACATTCAGATCCAGTTATTTTGTCAAAGAAAGAGCAGGGATTCAGAAAGAGGTGATGTTTGGATGCTGACAGGAACATGGCATAAAGATAAGGGACTGAAAGGGGGTGTCATCTGGGAACTGGCCCCTTTATTGACTTCTCTCTAAAGGAGAAAGATAAACATAAAAGGCTATATTTTCCAAATCCTACCATTTGGTCCTTTGAAGAGCTGTTTAAACGCTATGTGTTTGTTGGTTTGTGTGTAACCCCTTGAGATAATATAATTCTCTGTCGAGACACTAAACTAATGTGTGTCTCCCTCTAGTGGTCAGTCACTGATGACACACACACACACACACACACACACACACACACACACACACACACACACTGTTTTGAAGGTGATCTTCAGAAGGCTTCAAACTTTTAAGTCCCGCCTGAAGACCCACCTATTTTCTCTCGCTTTCTAGTCAGTTTGAGCTATCGATTTTTATGCTTTTATTGTCTGTCCATAGCCTTTATGTGCCTTTGATCTATTCTTATGTATGCCTTTTATCTATTCTTATGTATGCCTTTTATCTATTCTTGTAATATTATATTTTATTATAATGTTATGTTTGCTGTGAAGCACTTCGGTAAACCCTCTGTTTTTAATATGTGCTATATAAATAAAGTGGATTGGATTGGATTGTTATGATCATATCATTTAAAAGCCACTTCAAATACGTCTGCAGCCTGCTTGATTAAAAATATTGAAATAAATGTTAATGAATATGTATAACATTTAAAAAAAAAAAATCCTCTATGTTTTAAATCTTTTGAAAGAAATTAAAATAATGTTTGTTTTGATTTCCATTAGAAGCATCCCCCCATCAATCTGATTTCCCAAATAATTATAAACCCAATAAAACCCAAACCACTCGCTTGAAACTTTTATTATGATGTCACAGTAATATAACTTTAGAATGACTCGTAGATTGGAATATTTCAACATGCTTATCTATTCTTCAACCTTTGATATTTATCATCCTGACTGTACAAAAAAACACTAGTGATATTTACAAGTTATATAGACCCTGGTGTTGGCTTGTCAAACCCCCTTTCATCCCTTTAAAGGTCTTTCCTTGCATTTCCAACTCTTCTGAGCTGGTTGTAAAGTCAAACACTTCAGCCCTGTGGGAAGAGAACACAACATTGTTAGCAAACAAAAGTCACAGTCATGGTACATTTATTTGGAAATAAAGGGGTTAAAAGTTGCACCCACCATTGCAAGCCGTTAAATATCTGTGCTTTGGTCATTGTCCTCAGAAGGCCCCAGAAGGGACTGCCTCTCCCAAACCTCTGGGGCAGCTGTGCTTCTCGGACCTCACGGCACTCGGCACACAGGTCCCAGGAACGCCCAAACCTCTGGGGCAGCTGTGCTTCTCGGACCTCACGGCACTCGGCACACAGGTCCCAGGAGCGCCCAAACCTCTGGGGCAGGTTGGTAATTTCATCACCAGGCAAATTCTCCCTGCCGAAACGCATGGGCATGTTGGCGTGCAGGTGGAAAGGTATGGCCGTGGGGGGGTGGAGCTTGATGATGGTCGGGAGGCTGATTCTGCTGGTGGTCGGGTTCACGTGCACTTTGTAGCTCTCCAGATCCAAACTTTTGCGAATGTCACTTTTTGTCTGGAAACAAAAACATGTGGAAGTCAGAATCAGTCTGATTTAAAGGTCCCATGTCATGGCCATTTCTACTGATCATAATTCCATTGTTGAGGTCTACTAAAATAGATTTAAATTGTGCAATTTTCCAAACTCACATTGGTTTCTCATATAGCATCTCTGTATAGTATGTGTATTCACTCTCTGTCCTAAACGGCTTGTTGGAGCTCCTGCCCCCCCCCTCCCTATGAGCTCAGTGGCCATCTGCGAGACAGCGAGACACAGCGAAACCCAGCCCGAACACACACACCCGCAGCCTGGCTGGGAGTTTGTGTGTGTGCTCACACACCGACTCACAGCCTCGCCGCGTCCCACCGTCTCAGGGAGGAGAAATCGGCGGAGCTGCGGCTGAGAAAAGATTGTGTGTGTGTGTGAGGAAGTAACGTAACGGCTCCGCGGACGTAACGTAACGGCTCCACGGATTGGTCCATTTGGACCAATGGGTCCATTTGGGTATCTGACTCTGCAGACCGTTTACATGCATACAAAGCTACATAACACACAAGGTGTCGGGTAATAACCGGAAAAGCATGACATGGGACCTTTAAAGAATATTTTCATGAATGTTGTCGATTACTAGCTCATTAGTCAACTAGTTTCATGATAATTTCATATTTTTCTTTAAAGTTTTAAACAAATATGACACATTGCTGGTTCCATCTTCTCATATGATGAGGATTTGTTGCTTTTTTGTCATATAAATAATGATCACGGCAATATCTTAGGTGTTTAGTCAGTTGGTTGGAGACATACATATTTTAAATAAGTCATCTTAGGTTCATCTTTGACATAAGACAACAGTATAATTTATTACCACAATTATTTGTTTCAGAATTAGTTTTGACCACTCATATTTTCTCTAGGTTGGATCACATAATTTCCCATTATTATTTCATACACAGTATAATCAAAAGCAACACCATCATGTACGTGAACATGAGTGGTCCATTTACACATTTTCTTGTAAAAGATATGTGACATTGCTTTAAATATTTGGAATCAATTGTAATTTTGCGATCTTGAAAGTTGTAGTACAGAATACTAGGAAAGTGGAGCTGTCCAAAACACATACATACTCAATTTATAATCATATATGACAAATGAAAGTAGGAAATCCTTACATTTGATAAGCTTCAATAACATATAATATGTGGCATATTTGTTTGAAAAATGACAAGTGCCAATTGAAAATGAATGAATCTACTTACATTTGATCTGTAAAGGAAAACTTAAAAGGACTAATTGAATAAGCATCATTGGATAGTCCTTACCTGTTGCTGTTTCCTCACACTGTGTCTTCCATAGTCGCTGCTCAGCAAAGTCTTATCCCTGTTGATGAATGTCCCGTGTACCTGCAAGTCAGACGCCCCGAGCATCAGGAGCAGCACTACAGTCAGCATGTTAACAGCAGGAGACATGTTGTCCGAGGACCCCTCTGACCACAGTTATTAAAGACCCCTGAAACGTACGTCACCTGTCGCATGTTGTAGAGACACACACACACACACACACTTACGCACATACACTAATACCTTCAGCCTCATTTAAACTGAGTAAATTCCTGCTTTAATAATCTTCCAGCTCTGAAGAATAGATTTGGAAAGGCATTTATGTCCTCATTAGGCTGCTAAATGAACCTGTTGGCAGAGGGGAAGGAAACTAAACACAGGCATCTTATGGAAATGGCCAATTCACATTCAATACACGTGATACAGGGTGTGTTGTTCGATATAAAGGCTCTATTTCCCCCTTTACTAAAGCTCTGCTCATTATGTGGCAACGTCAATTAGAGACTAAGCAAGCTGCTTTGAAGGAGACAGGTTCACAAGTAGATGTGTTCGAGTTTTCTTTTATGTTTGGAGAAATTTGAGTTCTCTGTTTTTTATTCATTCAGTTATTTCCTCTTGTTTGCCTCATACAATTGCAATTAGAATATAACAATTGTAATCTAACATTTCCTTTAACCCTTTTTTTGCCATAATTTAATTTGAAAGATTTGGATACTTTAACAGATTATTTTTCCTTATCATTGAAGTTATTACTAAGTTAATGAAGAGCTGCACACAAACTGTAATTTGTAATTAATACAGTGGAAATAAGAGTAAAGGTTGAAGACTCTTTACAATGCTCTGGCCAGTACGCCAGTATTATAGAGTCCAGTGTTTTTCCATAATGACCCATAAGATATAATAGTACTTATATGACAAAGCTGGTGATATTTCCGGTATTTTCGACACACAGAAAAGCAAAAATAAATACATAAATAAATAAAACGATAAAGAAGCCCATCCCTCAATAATATACCAGCCTGTGTCCCTCAGCCCAGAGCGCACTTGCCACTACTGAAGACATACATCTTTCAAAACTCTTAAAGGTAGGGTAGGTAAGAATGGAGAAACCAGCTCGAGTGCGCTAGAATTTGAAAGTACACAACCGAAAAAAATCTGCCCCTTCCTTCAGACTGCCTTACAGAGCCCCTCCTCCAACACACACAAACGCGCACATGACCAATGAGGGCACGAGATAAGTTTGTGCACAGATGGAAGGCTGACAGGCAGGTAGGCCCTCCAGTTACTTTAGCCGGGCCGGCTAAAATGACTGGTCGTGCTTTTTACAGCGCCACGGCTTCCACAGATGACATTTTTGTATGTATTTATTGTCAAAGCATTTAATTTATTCATTGCTATCGGGATGTTAAGAGCATTCCATGGAATATAACAAGATTTTCAAGTTCTAGCGCACTCGAGCTGGTTTCTCCAAAATGACCGACCCCACCTTTAACCATTTTTACTATTAATAATACATATTGATGATTCGCTTCAAAGATGTGCACATGGGGGTCGAAAGTATAGAGAGATAGACTCAATGTACGATTGTAGGATTTGTAGTCAATATCAAAAATATACAATATCACCAGCTTTCTTCTTCAAATAAATGATGTCTTATACGTCATACTGGATAAACACTAGAAAATACCCAAAATGCATGTGTGTCACGTTACACATTGTTCACAAAATGCAGCTTAAGCCTCTATGGAAACGTAAGTATATAGCAACCGTTGGACAACAGCTTTCGGCAACAGGCGTGGGGTCGACGTCACTCACCATTCCTGTTTCTGAATGTGACAATAAGTGTATTAAGATGTAACCGATGACTCACCGGAGCTGTGTTTGCATCCTTGGCAGACAGAATGTGAGGAATGCTTGGTGTGAAACACAGGTTGATAATGACAGCGCACAGGGAACTTTCATTTGATCCATGCGTCATGACCCTGACATTGTTTCCATTTGCCTTGTTGCCATGTCCTGTCTCACCTTTAGCACAGCGGGCCAGTGGAAGAGTATCCCAGTCATCTGGTTTCAGTGATTCAGTATCATCCTTAAGATGTTTTTTTATGGCTATGGTTTCAATCTATCTTTCCGTATTATCATTTACCTCCCACCTCTCCCCAGCCTCTCTCTTTGTGCTCTCCCTCCCTGACCCCCGGCCCCAGCTTGCAGACTATGGGGTTCTGGATTTACGATCCTGTCTCTGACACTTATCCAGAGTCTTATCCGCAGAAGGCTTCCCTATACCGCGAGCTCTCCCTTTGTTCTTTCACAGAGCACTCCCTCAAAGACCTTGTTCTCGGACACTGTAATTCTCTCTTCTTAATGTTTTTAATGTGCATCCCTCACCACCCCGGCGGCCTTTTCATCTTTCCATTTTCGTCCTTTTGGGCCTCCTCTCCCTCCCCTCCTCTTTGCTTCTATGCTGTCCACTTGCTTGAAAACAGACGCCACTTCTTTGAAAGAAATACTGCCCTGCAGGTTTGATTTAAAACGCCTTGAACCTCCCACTTATAACATGTGTTTGACTCATTGTGCACCCGTGGTTGAGGTGACGTACGGTTTACTGAAATGTCTAAAACAATAATGAATTATTTTGTTAACTTCAGGAAAACTAATCAGGCATACAGATGAAAACTATAGGGAAAAGGTACAAATAGGTAGATCCAAAGAAGAAGCAGAAGCAGGAAGTAGAATTAACCAATGTTGATCCCCACCTCTCTCTCTCTCTGTCTGACTGGGATCTGGCAGCCTTCCCTGAATTCCTCTCTAGGACCAGGACACCCTCGGATTCCTGGGATGATTTGTGGGAATGTGCTGTTATCCCCCTGCTGAGCTGATTTATGTTCGGTTTTATCTTCCCCCTCACTTAGACATCAGCCGGGTCATCATCACAACGCTTTACATGCCCGTACACTCAGCGAGGAGACACATTCATCAAGCTCTAGTGACGGGTTATAGTTTTATCAATGATCAAATCAATTTCTGCGGAATCACAGCATTATGATGTATGGGAAGACACACTGACGCCAGGCAGACAGACACACACACTCGCACATGTGGTCGGCTGTGTTGCGTTGTTGTGATTGTAGGGAGATGTGATGGATTCGTGTCTCTCACATCCAATACTAGGAGTGACAGAAGGAAAACGTTGGGCCTATTGGAGGTTAAGGAGAAAGACAGGAAGTGTTACTGTATCTTTCTGTCCTCACAAAGACAGAACGTTTTATGTTAAAGCCTTTAACCTGCTGCACATGCAGAGGCCCAGGCGTTTTGGGGTCCGTAAGCAGAACTTGAACCCCTCCACCCCATTGAAAGCATCTTAGGAAAAGACAATAAATTATCCTGATTAGTTTCCTTTTTACGACAGGTAGTAAAACTCCACAAAAACCCGGATAAGACAGAATATTCCTTAAAGGACAATGTTTTATATTTGTGTTTCTGTCACCAAGTCTCAAAAAAAGGACCAGAGAAAATAATATTTGAGTCTGTCTCTCTTAGTGTCTAACTGATTGCTTACTACTGAAGGCATACATCTTGTAAAATAGGTCAGAAATAAAAGCAAAAGGCCAAAAAATGTACTATATGTGGACAAAGTCTTTGTAGTGAAGACACATGTGAACTGGTGCAATGATGTGTCTTATTGAAGTGTTTCTATTTACTATTAGGACAACAATGCAGCTCTTATAAGGTACCGTGTGAGGCTTTGGCTACACAGACCATTCTTGTAAATAGGATTGATGTTTTGGGTGTTTTCTTAGGATTTGTTGACATTAATATGACGACATAAAATATCACAAGACCTTTAAAGAACCAAAATTAACACAGGCTTCCAATAATGTGAATATCTTTATGAGTTTGAATTCCTGCAAGTTAACAATCCCTTGAGTGGTTTGAGTATAAGCCTGAATAACAAAAGGAAATAAATAACTTTTTTTTAACCTGACACCAGCAGTTTATAACTTGCTGATTTGTGGTCCCGCAGCACCTGAGCAGCTGCTCTGTTCACCTCTGCTTTTGTAAAGCTCTGCATGCAGACACAGAGAAATGCACATATTTCTTCATTTTAGTCAGTTTATCGATCTGCAAAACATATGTATCTGTCGTGCTCAGGTTTTGAGGCTAATTCACTGTTGGCGTCTTGTTTCAAAATCTTTAATTACATTAGCACATGGGCATGTTTGCAGGTCAAGAGGTATAAAAGTGTTATTATATACTGTACCCGATGATGAGCCTATTTGGACTTGAAGAATACTAATACTTCTATTTAATTTAATAAAGAAATTGAACTTTAAATGGAACAGTCTTGCATCTCAAAAAGAGTGAAATCTTATAGGCTCTGATTCACACACCTTTTAAATTAGTGCAAGCTTTGTTCAATATTAAATACCAAAGAATCAATTTGTTTAGATGTTTTTTTTTGTCCATAGTTAATGTAAAATCACATTTGAGTTTTTCTGATATTTGTCACATTTATAGACCACTAGATGGCACTCTAAGTTTGGATGATCAAAGCTATACTTTATATATTTGTTTATAAGAGTCTCTAATCGGTTTTACATCCAAAAATATATTGTTTCTGTTGAGCTTTTACTCAAATGTCGGATCAGTTGTAAGCCTTTTGTTGAGGAAATGAAACTAGTGTTGATTTTAGTGCAGAAGACTGTTTTTAACAGTTTTTAAACATCATTGGACACATTGTAAAACATGTCGTCCACCCGGGGGCGCCTGAACACCCTTACTTCTGTGTTTGTCGAGGAGGAGGAGCAACATTAGGGGTGGAGAGTCAGAGGAGGAGGCTGTCCTCAGAGAAAGAGGAGTGTCTCCAAAAAGGGGAGGTGTTCTCACGGTGACAAGGGGAGGCGCTGAAAACACTGACCAATCAGAGGCGTGTAGAAATCCACCAATCGGAGAAGGAGAGGAAAGCAGGAAACTGAGCAAATGACCCTTGATGAGAGAGTGGGAGGATGGGAAAGATGAGGGGCCCTCGGATAGGGTTGTGTGTGCGAGTGTGTGTGGGTGAAAGTGTAGAATTGATGGAAAAATCTGCCATTATTTCTTATACGTTTATTTTATGGTATTTTCCTTTT